ATCAAGGCATCCAAAATTGATTTTTTTTTAGACTACTGTCCTTGACGAGAACAACAGCTGGTCATCATCACGTGGTTATTAGATCTGGTCAAAGTTCTTATCTAATAAACCCCAAATATTAAAACAAATAATAATGAGCAGAAATGTAAAATATATCTTAATCTCCTGTGCGATTCTAAAAAATATTCGTTGATATTCAAGATTTGAAATGTAAATTTTAGATTTTTTTAACGAAGATAAACTAGTCTACCTCTTCTATGGTGAGCCACGATTGAAAGACCGTTCCCAGAATTTGCTCTGCCTTATATATGACATATTCAAGTGTAAGTTGTCTCCCCTGACAACTCTTCTTGAGGCCCTACTGGGGTGTTATAATAAAAAATGTTAAGTTGTAAGATTTGAATAAAAGATTTAATCCTCTAGCGGATAAATCGAATATTATCTTAACTTCTTACTATTTATCAATATTATTATTTAAATGTTGGTAAAAATAGATATATACATTAATTATATTAATGTGTGTATATATTTAAATATCTATGATTTTCATACTGTAACCATATAGATTATTACATTGTAATTAAATATCTTACTTGTTCCATTATAATTGTATAATTGTAAAAGAACGTGCTCTTCTTTTGGAGGAAATAAAGATATTATCGTTACATTTAAAAGGGAAAATTATTTCTATTTAACCAGTAGGTCTATTGAGGCAATTTGAGGGTGAGGGGCAATTTTTTTAGCATCATTAACTCCTTGAATCTGCCACTGTCCTGAAAAAATAACAGACCGATGGCTTCAGCCCCTTAACCCTTTCACTGCCATAGGGACGGCTTAAGCCGTCCCTGATATTTTCGGCGTATTTGTCATATGGACGGCTTTAGCCGTTTCTATAATAATCATAATAATAATAATAAATTAATAATAATAATAAAAATAATAATAGATATAAAGAAAATTATACCATGGACAATAGTTATTATTATACTAGCATATTTGGAAACATATATAATTATTATAATACTAATAACAAATAATAATAATAATTATGTTAATTAATAATATAGTAATTTCTTAGAAAACCCTCTGGCAAATAGATGATCAATAAAACAATAACCCTCTGGCAGCGAAAGGGTTAAAGGGTATAAATCTATATCTTATGAAATTTTTTTATAAAATTTATCAACAGTAAAATTATATTGGTTCCATTGTTATATGGCTATAATTACCAAAACATTTGTAACATAGAATGTCTCTATTATTTAATACACATGAATAATGTACGTAAACAGAATAAAATTTTCTGGAACAAAATATTATTTTGCTATTTTAAGTAGGGTTTTATCCGTTTAGCAGTGACTTTGTGCATGCACCACTCGCTTTTAGGCAATTTAAATTAATGCCATTTTCATTTCATACAAACATTTTAGAAGTATTCTTTTCTTAATTCAAACAATAATTTTTGCATCAGATATATAGCTTTATACACTTTAAGCCCCACGGTAGATCCGTACCTGCATTTATATTTTAATGGTTTATAATCTTTGAAGGGTATTATATATATCAATATATCATTAGCTCGTGAAGTTGTACTTCATTGGTAGTGCACCGCCATAGATAACCACTTCCTAGTCAACTTAACATTTGCTTTGCTTAAGGCCTATGTTCATATGGCCGAGTGGTTAATTAAGGCTGTTGACTTCAATACACTTATACTACACTGATGTGGGTTGGGATCCAGCCAGGGAATTTTTCATGTTCGAAATCTATTAAACAAGCTTACAGAAAGTCCGGTGGTTCTACCCACTCATGAGCATGTGGCTAAAATATTGAACGGAATGGCATTTACCGCTCTAATTCCTATACAGTACCAGTAAAGGTAGCATATGGTACTCTGTTGTGTTGGTGCGACGTATTCCCCCGTAAAAAATAAAAATAAATAGATAAAAATAAACCCATAAAAAACAACAAAACGATTATAAGTGAAATGCAATAAGGGAGACAACATTTTCATTTTGCTTTCCATCTTGTTCACAGTTGTAACTTCCCTTTCAGTGTAAATGTGAGCCAAGATGGCAAAAAAAGAGGAAATAGCGGGTAAGCTAGCTGACCCATTGTACCATCAGAAACTGATTTTCCTAGTCTGGCCATAATAACTTTAACAAAATGTGCATGAAGAACACGCTGAGATAGAAATACAAATGTATTTATTGTAATTATGTAATGAGATATCTTAGATATTTCATTTGTAGGTAAATTTAGATATTGTTATACGCTCAACTCCGATTTGGCTCTCTCCCTCTCGAATTAGAATAAGGCAGACATAAAGGTTTTCTGAGAGAACAAAGACTGTGTAAATCTGCAATAGATCTGAAATTGATGACGAGTTACACTTTATGTTTAAATGTCCGGTAAAGCAAGATTTACACAATTACTTAAATTACGTTAACATCATTCATGTTAATATAATTATACAATCAAGACAATAAAAAAGATAGAAAAGATAGAATTTAAATAACAACATATTGTTGACATCTAACTGATATATTCTCTGTTAAACAATTTACATGTAGTATGTTAACATCATACATTTACTTATCTTAAATTTAATGTAATTATTGTGTACACACCAAATGTTTTTGTATTGTACATTAATGTGTCAAAAGCTAGTGGCCTATATATATCACGAATGAGTTGAGTTGAGTTGAGACATTTTGCAATTGGTGGAATTTAAAATTGAATAGAGGATCTCGTAATGTTTTTTTAGTTAACTTATTAAACAAGCTTATTAATTTTTCAGTCTCTGTTAATTTTCAACTTGTAAACTGTTTAATGTCGATTTTGTGAAATAAGTCTATAAGTACTCGAAAACATAAGCTTTTCATATAGTCAATGCAACCGTGTGGACCACATGAACAGTTTTGTACAAAGTAAAAACGGTATTTTCTGAACGGCTAAGATACAGAAAGGAGCCCTATAATTTATAAGGTAAAAAAAGACATATCAATAGATAAATATGCTTGGATATTGTTGTTATTATATTTTATTTGTTCACTCATTTGATAGATAAATAATGAACCAAAAAGAAAGTCAATCGTTCCAAAAATCAGGAAGGGGTTGATTCGAAAAGACGATTGTCAGAACATGTAGTGTGTGTGCGCGTGTGTGTGTGCGCGCGCGCGTGCGTGCGTGTTTGTGTTGGTGTGTGTGTGTGTTTGACCACTGCGTTATAAGGAGCCGACTGGATGCTGTGGCATTCTTCAGGCAGTGATGATAGTACATTTATAGGTCGTTCACATTGTTTAGCGGGTTTTTACGCCGATTTACGCGTCGATCAAAAATGATCCAAAACATGTTGAATTTGGTTCAAATCCGGGCTTTTTGAAGGACAGTTATCGATGAAATAAACATTGGGATTTTGTTATACTGTATATTTATACAAACAACATTAATCTGGCATTATCGCATTGTAATATCGTTCTGACGTAATGGGTTTGAAGCAGAGAAACTACATGATAAACCAGAATATTTTCCCTATATTTTAGGCATTAAAATGTTCTTCAAATTGAATAACGCCGGGATAGGGTGCGGAACATGCTAGCAATATCACGTCACATCATAACTGATCCCAGTTTCAAGAACAATCGCGTTGTAGGACGCAACAGTGGGCATAATGTCCTTCCAATGCTTCGGAACAAACGTACACGGTCATCAGCTCGAAACAATGCAAACTTCGACGATCATTAGTAAAATAAATTGTTCGCCAGATCTGTTTTGTCCTGTTTATATGTTCCAGGGCACATGCCGTTGAGTCAAAATCTTTTGAAGAAAGTGCGATGTCCTTGCAAGCCGTTCTAGCCTAACAATACCAGCCTTTTTGTCGGAAATCCGGTTGTTGTAAGTCTCGGTGATAACAGCAACTGCTGCTGTTCGAAAGCAATCTCGTTGATGCTGGTTCGCGATATGTGAATCCGGTTACGGGACGGCTTTTGGCCGCCGTATCATTTTTGGACGGAAGGGCTTTTGCCCTGGAGAGCTTTTGTCCGTTTCCCATGTAATACACCTATTTGCCACTATTTGTGACAATTAATTTAATTAGTCATTAAAATTTGGATAATCATAAACCAATCAAATATGCAGTTTGATAAAACGTTCAAGCCATTCAAGATAATTAAAGATAATTGCCAAAATCCCAAGGCATGAGATTAATTGCCGGATGACAGCATTAAATGTTTTGATAAGGGAGTACACTATCACAAAAATGTATGACGCTGAAAAAATGACACATATATATTCAAGTCAAGCTGGTCAACGTATCTTTGACCTCTTCAGGTGGGGAGGGAGGGGGTGGGGGGGGCTGCAGTCCTGAATCCGCCAATGCATACTCTAAGGACTGTGTTCAGTCACTACTTATATTTAATCACCACATGACTTTAATAGTATCAACCTCCTCCCCTCACATTTTCCTCAGAAACAGAAACACACACTAACACAGCATCAAACCTGTGAGAAGGTCAGTATGGCCTATAGTATAAAACAAAAAGGAATCACAAATTCGTCATATTACCGTTGCAGCTTATCGCTGAGATCGAGTCCCGCAAGAGATTTCGAGTTGCTACGTGCAAGGAAGCTAGTCACATTGCTGAAATAATGCATTAAGGAGTACCTGCAGTAAAACTGGAAAGTCAAATTTTTTTAAAACACGACCCCATCCCCACCAAAAAAGAAAAGAATAACAAAATAAAAACTAAAATAAAATAATAATAACAAAAACTAATAAAAAGATTAAAAACAAGACCTAAATAGTACCAATCAGTAACAAACTGAAAGAAAACAGTTTGATCACATATGATCTTAAAAGCATCACATCCTAAGAAAACATAAGGTCGTCATATGACCTTAACATCAAGCACAAAGAAAACAAATTGTCGCCCAAATCAACACTAAAGATCTTTCTTTAAAATACCGAAAACCATGAACATTGTAACACAACATCAAAATACAGGATACTAGTAATTTATTTGAGTTAGATATCATTGACATTATGAAAGCCGTATTTAAAGTAATAAATGATTATTGCATTGCAATGAAATACAATCAATGTGAATAAGTTGGTTGTAGCCAAATTCATATGAAATATATGGTTGCATTTGTGATAACAACTGTCTTATTATAAATGTGTTTGTGATTTGTTTATTTAAGCAGTAAAATTTACTTCAATCAAAATGAATCCAAATACTGTACATGATTAAATCCTCAACCTGGACATGAAACAATGACACAAAGCTGAAACAATTCAGATTGCCGCGTCTGTACCTTGAAAGGCTTACATAAAAGTTTATCCTTTATGCGCTTTCATATCTTCCGTGAATTCCTTTCTAAATTTAGACTTGTCGCCGTAAATATAGTGATTCGTCATATCCGGCGAGTACTTGCTAGCGGGTGGGGTACGACCGTATTTTTCTGCAACAATTCGAATCAAACTTGCTGAATTGCCGCAACAAAGACCAACATACTGGATCCCGATTTTACGACACTCGATGGCGAATGCTTCAATCTCCTGACGGCTGCATCGGCATGCGCAAAGATCAGTTGGAAAAGCCCGGATATCTGACAAGATAAATGTATATGCGACTTTATTTAATAAATTGTCAAAATTATGAAAGTTGATATGAAAATTACGTTCTATATATTATCTTTTTATAAATTAATTTGAAATTATTTTTATCTACAATGTAAGATACATAGCTTTTTATCAGATTTCTGATGGTATTTACAAATTTGATATCTTTTTGCAATTTTTAGGTTAAAAAAGAAGAGATAATACTTGATAGTTTTACATCTTTATAGTCTTTATAGATATAAGTCAATGAAATTGTCAAATTAGCTAATGTATCAATAAAAATATGTTAAAGTACGACATATTCCGCCAAAATCATATTCACCTCTCTGCATATGATACTAAGAAAGGAAACATATAAATGTTGCTGGATTTGTAAAAAGCTTCAATTGAGATAGAATTTCACTTGGGTACTAGTATTAAGGTAAAAGTATACTACTTGTGCCTGGTATGGTCAGCGAATGGAATGTAGGCTGCTCTGAGGTTGTCCTATAAGTAACCGGAAGTGCAGCAATCGGACCCTTAATAGGAGAAATTAAATGTGAAGAATTAGAAGTGGTATACCAAGATAATATCCAAGTGAAGAATATTGAAGTATTATTTTACTAGCACTTATGTAATGTGAATAAGTTATCGAAAAATGAATAGCATATTTTCTAAATTTGTGATGATTTTTTTATTCCATAAATATGAAAAATATCACATATGACAATTGAAATAATTATGCTTTTTTGTTCATCATTGGCCCTATCCTTTTACTACGTGGAATGCATAGTACTATTAGCACACTTCTTAAAATTATCAGAAAATGTAGGACACTAACTTTACAATTTTCTACTATTCCTTTTAAGACCGGAAGCATAGTTGCAGGACCACGTCCGCAATTCAACCCCACAACTGCTGCTCCGGCCTTTTGTAACCGTCTGCAGGCATCGATAACAGTCACGCCGTCTACACACACTTCACTGGTTACTGCAGACAGTGTTATAACCGCTGGTACACCTATGTAAAATGGCATCTCTTTAAGACCCTATATCTATATTTATCAGTGTAAGGTATATTAAACATTTGAAATGAACAAGATATTTATATTTGCGCTTACATTTGTTGGTCAATGTCATTTCAATTTTTTATCAAACAAACACTTAAATGTATTTTGGCTTTTTTTTATGAAGAAAAGCTGAAATGAGAAGTACTTGGGATGTTATTAGACTCGGCAGCATGATAGGAATATTTTAGTTTCAAAACGACCAAAAGGAAAATAAGGCGATCCGAATGAAGCTATAATAATATTATTTCTCTTTTCCATATCAAGAGTGAGTTTAAATCATTGCACAACAAAGCGTTTTTCCTTGACCATTTCAAACTTTTGGCAACTGCTGTGTTTTCTATAGTTTTAAAAAGGACTTTGTAATAACTATTCAAAATGTTTACCTTTACCATACTTATGTATACAATCTAGAGCTAACTTCGCCTCACCGAAGCTTGAGAACGTTTCACCAACAATATAATCTGCTCCCATCTCAACAGCAACTTCTACCTGCTCCTGAAATGATCCGAGTTATTCCGACAATGATAATGTCATACGTTTCTCTCTTGCGTTGTCTTTTTCGACTCGCAATTGCAACTTTTGAACACACTCTGTAAACGTTGGGACAAGGACTAAAGATAATCGTTCCAAATGTATCATCTCGGTGTTCGTATTATTCTTGGAATGAAATATTTTATAATAAAAACTTTATAAGTGTTTGATGTACATTGAAAGTGTTGATTATGTATAGATCCGAAATTTTCAAGTAATAATTCGTGCGCAAACATTATAATCACTTATAAATGAAAACAACAATAACTAGATCATTTACCTACGGTCTTATGTATGCGTCTTACTCTGTTTGGTCTTAAGCTCAAAAATACAAATTATTGTAGCCATTGTTACTTATATTTCAAGTGTTAACGCTCCATGTTAATGAGGAAGAACAATTATACTGACCTTAAACATGCTTTCTGTGACCTTATGCGATTCATCATCTCCGGTGACATAAACCGTTGAATTACATATGTTTCCCGCCATAAGACACCCATGTTTATCCGCAACTTCACGCGCTATTCGTAATGCCGTTCTATTGATTTTATCCAAATCTCCCTCCCTGCCAATCACACGTAGCTTTTCTCTATGTGCGTAGTACTTTATGAATAAATGTATAAAACGTATATTGTTTTTCATTGGTAACTTCAAATACATGATATTTCTGTATACAATTAGGACAAATGGAATGATAAAATGTCTTGAACATACTTGTACAAAGAAAAGGCAATTCAGCTGAAAGCCAATATATGACTTGCCAAGTTTAAAACCAAACCTATCACTCAATTGTACACTTATTTTTTCATTAACTCATTTAACGAAGTCTTTGAAAATTACCGTAAAAGCTAAAACAACATCACTTCCAGCATGAACAAATTCTTCATGTAATTGTCTCACGCGTTCCGGATGCTCAAGTATCACTTCCGGTACAAATGCACCAGCTTGTAAATAACCTCTATTCTCGAATTCAAAAAGATATCCTTCCGCAACAATAATGCATCCTCCATTTTGAAGTCTTTCGATTAACCCTACAAACGCAATCAAATCAAACAGGTTAGTGTGTTTTTAAAATATAAGAAGTTTAGCAAAATACGTTAAAACATTTTAATTTAAAATTGCTGAACAAAAATTCTGGGAGCAATGACAACATCAACAACAACAAAAGAAAAATCAGATGGAAATCGCTGAATCATGTAGATAGTCTGTTCATGATATCTAATATGGGTGCAACATTTTTCACGCCTTCGCTGCCGCAACTGCTTGAGCAGTGTTCAATCATTAACTAAAAGTATGAAATACTTAAGGCTGTAAAAATCCGTTGTTACAAGATATGATAGTTTAAGTTTCTTCTAATAGAACTTTACACTACGAGCATACCCATGTAATATCCGATATGTATCCATTACAATTAGGAGCTGTTCATTCCTAATCTCTTAACGTTATGGGAACTTTGATTTTTAGTGATAGAGCTAGAAAAGATATCTAGGGATGATATGTCCGATCCCTGCCACTAGCTACATATATAAAAATCTGGAAACAAAGTGATCCCTCGGAAGCATTCACCACAACTCAATTATATAAGAATTGCAGACTCGGTTTGATTGAGTCTGTACATGAGGGACAATAAATAAGTGCGACATCCCTCACGCCCCCTAGCACCGGCTAGTCGCTTTTAGGTTAAAACAACAGGCATATGTGAAAAAATCAATGTCATTTCTGGAATTTGGTAATGGGTGTATCCAAGCAACAATCAAACATTAATGGCGCCTATACAGTCTAAAATATGAAAGAAAAAGCATCATATGCTAACAAAGCAGGAATATAATGGAACTGACTTACCTTTACTTGAAGACATTGTACGTCCACGTTTTTACAAACAGAGCGAATAGTTTAGACGAACCTTATATTATCTTGATAAGACGTTTACACCATATTCGTTCAACTTGCGTGTACTTAAAACTACTATTCTTATCAGAATGGATAGCTATTCAAATTCATATTATACATTTGATTTGCATAATTGAAATCATATACTTATTTAGCATGATTACGCACGACTGTTTTCAACAAGAATGCGAAACTGATAGTATAAGCGAGTGTACAAATGTATTGAGTTTTGACTATTAATTAATAAAAATAAATGGAGAAAGATGCAAATAAATATTTGAGTAAATCAGACATTTATTAGTTTATGGAGGCAATCGCGTACACAATTGCCAAATTATTCTATGATACAGGGTGGGTCAATATTTAATACCATACAAAGTTGATTTTCTAAGTTAGCTAGTGATCCCTGTATTTGTTTAAATTATGCTATGTTTCAAAACACCTGCTTGCAAATGATACTAAAATGATGTGTGAAGTCAACCGATCAAGCATTTTATATTTTATTTACGTTTAAAACACTTTATATGAGTTACTTCATGTTAAATATGTATAGGGTATGAACCGAGATCTTAGGAAAGGCCTGGTCACGAACTTCGTGTGACAAAGAGAGCGCGAAGCGCTCGAGATGAATTATGAATTATGAAATTCGTGACCAGGTTTTTCCTTAACAGAACAAATTTGAAGTACCAGGCCAATATCCAAACTCACACACGTTAAACTTCTTTAGGGATTCTTATTTTTTCTATTTTAAGCAATGACAACTTCTTTAGGGATTCTTATTTTCTCTATTTTAAGCAATGACTGACGATAACGACTTGGATGACATTCTATCCATAATGCACAACACACATCACGTCCAGATTAACGTTTTGATAAACGTTTTGCTTTAATGAATAACAAATCATTTGCATTTTGCTTTGACTTCAAACCACTTGACACTCACTGCTGTGAGTTCCAATTAAATTGGGATATTGAGCTAGCTTACAGAATCTCGTTGGTTCTACTGAGATGTCTGCTTGTGCTTGTGCTAAAAAAAAGAAATGCAAATAAGAAACCGGAATGTCACCTTTACAGTGTTTGTTCTCCATTAAAAGAAATAATTAATAATAAAGAAATAATAAAAGAATGCTGAATGTGCAATTTGCTTCTGTCAAGTATTTGGTATGATATATTGTCGCTATAGTCCTGGTTTTGATTATCAATGTTAAATGTCTTTACATTTCAAAGCATTTATTTCAGCCAATCCTTAGCTTCGGGGGTTTGCAGGGAAAAGCAGCAGTGTTTTGACATAACGCCGGTTAAAATTTTGTTTGTGTTTAAAAAGGCAGGATTTACTCTTTCTCCAAGAGAGGGACGTTTAATAGGGATTTAAATAACAACATGTTTGATGCCACGGTTAGGAACTTAACATTTATTTTGCTATTAATTATGGGTTGTGACTGCAATAATAAAGAACTGTTACAGATAAATACTCGTAGAATTAAACCTCAAACGTCCGCATATGTAATATTGTGAATGTGTTTAATGGCAGAAGAACCTTATAGATTATAACTTTGAAAAGGAACGCAATGGAATATAATTATATTCAAAATTTGTAACACTGATGGGCTGAACATGATTGTATTATGAATGTTGGGAAATTTCTTATATGACCGGGTCTGTCTGACAAGACTAGACCTGTGCACGAGCAAATGTCAATAAAATATGCCTGTATGCCTGGTAGAACATGCTCCGTAGTAACTGATAAAAAACGTTCACTTGTTAATTAAAAGCGTGCAAGCTTATCATTGACAAAGATGCCATATTTTCACTTACCTAAGAAGCACATAACGCATAGATAACAATGGGGTCAACCCAGCCAGCATGACCATATCGGGCCGATATAGGATTAATGTCGGCATGTCGGCAAAATATGCCGACTATTTGCCGACGTCGGGCCGCTGCAGTGCCGACATATTGAGTATTTTTACTTAATAATGTGAATAAATTGTCCTGTGTATGATTTCAATTACTAGAACCAAATTAACCACATTTCGTGTTACATCAAAAAAGATACATCGGGTCTGCGTCGGGCCTACATGACCTATCAATGCAACTATTTTGTATATCGGGTTGACATCTACGGAATGCCGTTAGGGCCATTGCCTATGAATGTGTTGATCTGAAACGCGATAGTCGAAAGTACGATGGTGAAAACGCGAAATCACGAAACTACGATGGTGAAAACGCGAAAGCACGATGATGAAAACGCGAAAGTACGATGATGAAAACGCGACAGTACGATACTACGATGATGAAAACGCGATAAACTATCGTGTTTTCACCATCGTACTGTCGCGTTTTCACCATCGTAGTTTCGTGATTTCGCGTTTTCATCATCGTACTGTCGTGTTTTCATCATCGTACTATCGCGTTTTCACCATCGTACTATCGCGTTTTCACCATCGTACTATCGCGTTTTCATCATCGTACTGGCGTGTTTTCACCATCGTAGTATCGCGTTTTCACCATCGTACTGTCGTGTTTTCATCATCGTACTATCGCGTTTTCATCATCGTACTATCGCGTTTTCATCATCTTACTATCGCGTTTTCATCATCGTACTATCGCGTTTTCACCATCGTAGTTTCGTGATTTCGTGTTTTTTTCCATCGTACTATCGACTATCGCGTTTCAGATTAACACATTCATAGGCGATGGCCCTAACGGCATTCCGGAATGCCGTTAGGGCCATCGCCTATGAATGGTTTGATCTGAAACGCGATACTCGACAGTGCGATGATGAAAACGCGAAATCACGAAACTACGATGGTGAAAACGCGACAGTGCGATGGTGAAAACACGATAGTTTATCGCGTTTTCATCATCGTAGTATCGTACTGTCGCGTTTTCATCATCGTACTATCGCGTTTTCATCATCGTGCTTTCGCGTTTTCACCATCGTAGTTTCGTGATTTCGCGTTTTCACCATCGTACTATCGACTATCGCGTTTTAAATCAACACATTCATAGGCGATGGCCCTAACGGCATTCCGTAGACATCGGTACGATATTGCGTTTTCTGTTTAATTGAAAATCATGCAGCAAATAATTGTACATTTTGTTATGAATTTCTAAAATAATCATAGTTGAATTTTGAAATGATATGTGATTTGTAATTAAATTCAATATTTATGTTTTGACTTCATAAAAATCACTCTTTTATTATATTTTAAATGAAAAGCTTGAACATATTCACTGCAGTCCTACAATTAACAGATTAAGCGCCAAAAAGAAAAGCTAACAAAGGAAGGTGATAAAAAGCATGGTTTTTTTTAATGTAATGATGATTCAACAAATCTGTATTTTGATTTTTACAGTTAAAATTATTGGAAAAATACAATTTTTCTGTTTGTCTCTTTTTTTGAGATGTAAAATTATGTTTGAAAATGTTTGTCACATGATTTCGCGACATGCATCATCATGGTAGTGATTGTCATTTGCACATTTAAGTTAAAATATATGTCTTAATTTATTATCTGATTTTGTAAAATAATTATCTTTTATTTTGTGTTTTTGCAGGTTATGCCAAATGCTTGCTGCTAGATGTCATCAACATGCTAGCATAAGGATGATACCTGGTCGATATAGGACCGATATCTTTCTACTGTTGGCTGACATCGCACCGCTATTGTTTAGATGTAGGCCCGATGTCGGCAAGAAATATCGGGCCTATATCGTTAAGATATCGGCCCGATATTCTGCTGCCGATGTCGGGCCGACATCATTCCTATTTGCAGCCGAGGTTATAGCCGACATCGGGCCGTCATAGAAAACCATGTTGGTTTGATGTCGGGCCGATATAGAATGTTGGCTGGGAACTTACTTGAATGTGAGCGAATAACTGCCAGATGGATACCCCATTTGCTACCATCTGACAAGAGTCAGGAACGATTAAATGCGCTCAAAATTAACTGAAAATATTTTTTAAATATGACAATCTCCGTTTATCTTATATTTGGTCAGGTGATGAAAGCTGGTTTCACTATTTTATGACAGCTCGCAAGTGCAACAATAAGATTTGGGCCACCAACATGTTCGCCGACCATGTATTACCAAACAATTGACATTTGTCAAGAAAGTTATTTTTGTTTCTTTTAAATACCCATGGAACTGTTGTCCACATGCCTGTTTCTAGAGGCCGTTATGTCACATTCATGTATAACAGAGTTAAGAAAAATTGAAGAAAAAACAATAGCAACAACAACACTTTAATAAAGTTTGTCCTTCGACTGGGATGAATGGCCGAACGTTCTCCGAACGTGGCACCTAATGACCTTTTCCTCTTTCTTATAATGAAAAGAAAACTTGCAGGCCATCGCTACAAGAGTAGACATAGACTTTGTTCGGCCATTTTTCATTTATGAAAAATATACCTAAAGTGTACTATGTTAAAGCGTTCAAATACTTGAATAAACATCTGAAATTTTGTGTTTCTGTAGGAGGAGATCATTCAAATGAAAACAGGAAATTGTAAAATATTTGTTCTTAAGTAAAATTGATTTACCTTACTGCATTGCATATTGACCCTCCCTCATATCGGTACTTATTGTATCTAAATGACCTGTTTCGCTTTCTTACTAAGTTCTGAACCGTTACTTTTTTCTCCAAAACTATTTCTTAAACGATTTAAATTTTTGTTTTAAAGATTTTGAAAAAAGATTATGCGCGAGACGAGACGATACAACGAGAGGACGAGACAGTATACGGAAGTTTATCTTCTCGTCCTTTCGGCTTATCATCTTGTCCCTTCCTACATTTATCAGTTGTCGCCGATTATTTTTCAAACTTTTAGGCTTTAAAATGTTCATTTAAACTGTAAAATGTAGAATTTAATGACATTCTTCAGTAAAAAGTTATTAAAAGCACAAGAAAAAATTAAAGTACCCCCCCCCCCAAAAAAAAGAACAAAAAAAATAAAATAAAACAAAACAACCACACACACAGAGTGAAAACGACAACAACAAAAACCCATTCGTGTTTTATTCATATAAGTACGTATTATTTTATTACTTTTATTTGTTGAGGCTCACTTTGTAAACTTAAACGAGTGAAATTTGGTACACGCCTTTATCAGTAAGGACA